CCTGCATAAACAGTCACAACCATTATGCAAGAGACTGATAAGTACAAACAAAAAGAAAGCTTTGGTTCCTAACCTCTCCTGCACCCAGGAATAAGAATCTATGGTCCGCCAAGGCTCCACCAACCAATTTCAGAGCTGCAAGAAGCCCTGCCAACACCACAGATGCAGTGCCCTGCAATAAATGAAATCATTTGCAATTAGAGAAATTCCATTGAGGAACAAACAAATTCCTAGCAAGCAAACTTTTGTAACATGTTACCTGTATGTCATCATTGAAGACAAGATGAGTTGGGCTGTATTTTTCCAGTAGCTCAAATGCATTGTGATTTGCAAAATCTTCAAACTAAAAAAGGGAAATTCATAATATTCAGAGAGCTGATTTAAGTACCGAAAACTCTGACATTAAGCAATGTTTGATGGTTTACCTGTACAAGGACCTTTTCCCCATAGTTCTTCTTAACTGCAGTCATGAACTCTTCTAGAAGCTCTGCATATTCCTAAACCACGGCAGATAGCAGAAGACAAATCTTCAGACTCAGCATGATTGCATGAAAAAAAAAGGTATTAGTCAATTGGAAAGGGAAGAAAGTCGAGTTACTATACCTGTCCAGTTGCCCTCCTCTGTCTAAGCCCAATGTAGAACTCATCATTCAATAACTTCTCATTGTTTGTGCCAACATCAATTGTTACAGGCAAGCACTGCATATATTGAATACAGGTGCAAGGTTTTAGTAACTATAAAAGCAGAGGGTGTATTCCTAGCTTCAGTAAGATGGTAATGGAGATATGTCAAAGCTTACGGCAGAGGGACGTAATCCTCCTAGTGCTGTATACAGAGAGAGTTTTCCTACTGGAATTCCCATTCCCTAAAAATGCAAAACAATTACATGAAATAAATTAACAATGATCCATCTGTTGAGCAATAAGGAGTGGCCTGCTCATCCAACTAACAACTTATAATTTATAAGTGAATTTGCAAGCATCAGTACCTGGCAACCAAGATCCCCAAGCCCCAAGATGCGCTCACCATCAGTAACAACAATAACTTGGATGTTACTCTCTGGCCAATTCTTCAACACTTCAAGAATCTTGCCCCTAAAAGTTTCATTTTGTAAATACTTGAAAACTAAGCAACTAGGACATGAAATTAGAAGGCAATCACATTCAGATGGTCCTACTTCTCTTTCAAACTGATGTAAAGACCCTGAGGGCGTCTGAAAATGGTCCCGTATTTCTGACAAGCCTCGCCAACAGTGGGAGTGTATACAACTGGCAATAGTTCCTCCACATTATCGATCAAAAGCTTGTAAAACAACCTTTCATTCCTCTCCTGGAGATCCATCATGGCCATGTATCGTTGAAGAGGAACTTCATACTGGCGTAGGTTGTGCATCAACTTTTTCTCCTAAAAATCAAAATTTTGTGGCCTGATTAAGCTTGGGAGACAGAAATTTTGATATTGGAATTTAAACTTGAAGAAAGTCATTTAAGATAACCTGGAGTTCCTGGGTCATGAGTGCTGGAGGCAAAAGGCCACGCAAGTAATGTGCATCCCTTTCATCCACAGTGAAGGCAAGCCCCTTGTTGTGGCGTGGATCCCTCAACAAAGTATATCCACTGTAACATAACAAAAAACAATACTTTTGAGTGAATCAAAAACTTAAATTCTGCGAATTTTATATGTAATAATCAGCAAAAACCAACAATCAACGGTTTCTCAAGTCAAACTATTCAGGGCCTTAAGAAAAGGATAGTTTTCTTGTTTTGGACCAAATGTTAATCCACAGAAGAACACGAACCAAACTTACTGGATGCATGTTTTACTAAATAAACCACTGGTACCACTTCCTAATAAACCAATAAATCCTTCGATGAATAAAAACAATAAAAAAAATAAGATCCAGTAAAAATAACCAGGAATTCACAACATGAGCAACAGTTAAAAATCAAATTGAGCAAAATTGCAAACATTTTTTAGGGCATAAAAATTAGAACTTTAGATGAAAACTCCGCAATGCAGCATCTAAAATCAATATGGGCCAGCCAGCCATAAAGAATAAGACAAGAATAACACAAAAAAATAATTCAAAAACTGAAAATATCATTTCTCTCACCTAGCAACAGAGACAGTCCATGGAGTGATAAGCTGTTCCTCCGTGGCAAGATCTTCTCCATTCGTTTTCTCCACTCCGTTCATCATTGTTCTTCTCTCTAATAAAGCCCAAACCTTTCTTTCTCCTCCACAACCAAGAACCACTGCTCTCTGCAAGTAACAAGAAGCTGAGAAGCCAAACACAACACAAGAAACAAAATCCCACAACACAGAACAGAACCCTTGATTGTTTTGCAAAGCAAGAAACAAAGCCCACCTTTTATAGCCACCTAAAGCCCAAAAATTTCTACGCTTTCCTAATTTTTTTTAAATGAAAGTTGAAAGTAATTAAGGTTGGTTTCCATGTCAAAAGGAAGAACGTGGACTACATACGCGGAGCTGGGATGATTTTGAAACCATTTTCTATGTTTTTTTTATCAAGGCTGTCTTGATTGAAAAGTTTAGTGAGTGTGAACATACAATACTCAAGTGGTGGTGGGCTTGTGGAATTCTTAGCTAAATAAGTAAATAATATTGCATGGTACCAGAAAAGTCTGTCTTGAAATCATTCTGCAGGAACGTGCGAGGAACAGACGCAGAGGTTATATAGTTTCCACGCTTTTTTTGGTGGAGAGAGAGAGAGAGTATTGATTCGTGATGACGCGTAAGGTAGACGGAGGATGGCGAAAATGGAAGCTGCAGGGCCCTATTGATTTTTAGACCATGCTAAATTACCTGCTTTTTTTTATCATAGGTTTGGTGATATGGTGTGAATGCTTCTATCAAAATATTTTGTGATATGGTGTGAATGCTTCTATCAAAAAAAATTTATTTGAGAAAATATTAAACTAATATTTTTATTAGATGTTTTTCAATGTATTTATATAAAATTATTTTTTTAATTTAATGTTAAGAGTGTTATAGAATTTAGTACGTCAATTAAAACTAAATTTCCTCCTAACAATCTAAATAATATATCTTTATATCAGCTAATTTTTTTTTTTAATTTTTCGAATCCATTATAATCTGGCTCAATTATTAGAGATCCATAAACATGTAAGGCTTTGTGATGCAGATGAAAATAAATATATAAAATATAAATAAATTGATAACATGTAGATCATAAAATATTATGCACCTCATGTTCATGTATAATTGAATACGAGATGCATGCACAATGTATTTGCTACTATTGTCAATTCAACAAAGGCATGCGATTACTTGATTCAAATTGACTGTCGTCCATGGAACCCCACCTCCCCTCCTTCTTTAATTTTAGTCTATAGTTCAATGAGTATTATTTTCAATCGATGAGAGCATGAGCAGTAGTCTACGCAGTATGTTTGTGTGTAGGATTACATGTTTGGAAACAGAACAGACAATTGAGATTTAAAAACATATATTTTTTAATTTTTTCAATTTTAAAATAATAAAAATCCACTCAAGAAATATATTAAAGACCTATTTATTTTATATTTTTTAGTTTTATGTTTCCAATTAAACACCTTTTTTTCCCTCTCGTTTGGCAGGCGGCATCAGCCAAAAATCCTGCCTTTGTCATCATCTCCTTTGCGTCCAATTGTCACTGTCATTTCCCTGAGGGTATTTCCTCGTCTCCTTTCCTGCTTCAAAAGGTGATTTGGTTACAGGTATTGTCGATGATGAAGTGGTTGTCAAATCTAAATGGTAAATGAGAGTCAGATTTTCACATTTGTGTGTGAATTCATGGCCGTAGAACAGTGCAGGGATGGAGGGTTGGCATGACTTTGTGAGGCCAAGCTCTTTGAATGCCAATTTCAACCCCGTATGGTTTAGACCTGGTCATTATGATCCAGTATCATATTGCTGATTTGACTTGGATCATAATTTAGCTTCTTGCTGCCATTGACAACTCAAGCCCTAATTTACATTGCATTTGACATTCAATTCCCATGAATGTCTTCATTTTCTGGCATCATTTTTCTTACGGCATTAATCTTACTTGAAGTAAATTCTTTTTCAAGACTGCCGGCCACTGCATAGCATAAAATTGAATTTGTGGAGGGGCAGATGGAGAGTGCGTCCACCGTTTCCATGGCGCACTCTATCGCCATATCTCAGAGCTTCTTACGCTGGTGGTCTTTTACTGGGCACACGCGTGCGTAGTGGGTATAATTATATTAGGGTTCCCAATATTATCGTTTGTCAAAGTTCTTGTTGGCTCAGTCAATGATTTCTTAAGCGGCAAACATGTACACAGTGGCTGGCTCCATTCTGAAACGGGAAGGTTGAATTCTTGAAGACCAATCTCCATGATTCTATTCAAACCTTCCAATGCACTTTTTTCTTTTTTTAATTTTTATTACACCTGATGTGGTTTTATTTTTATTTTTTGTGCTAGTCTTTATATTTCTTTTCAATAAATGAAGTATTTCGGCTTAGTTTATATCTGAATTAAAATCAAATTTCTTCTTAAATGATTTTATCCATTTAGGCATCGTGTATTATACCCCTGTGTTTGCACAAAAAACCTTTTTTTTTTTTTTTAATTAATATAAATATCTAGTCAATTTGACTTATATGTTTGAAACTAATTTTACGAATTTTAAAGTTATTAATCAGCTTTCAATAATTATAAAATTTATAGATAGAAAACTTATAACTTAAAAAAAAAATTTAAAATATAATGAGTTAAACTATTTTTTAAAATATAAAAAGCCCTTCATTTCATTCATTTGTATTCTCCCTAGGAGGTTGAGTTAATATCATAACCTAACCTAACGTTGCTAAGAAGAAAGCTCCTGGGCGTGGACTAGGAGGCACCCAATCAATGATCATACCTAAATGGCTAAATTATCATCAATCCTAGCCATGTTTCCAAAATCTTGAACAAACAATTCTCTCTCTACAGTCAGCTTCTCATAATCAAAATCAAAATCTAGCTTAATAATGATTTTAATGACTAAAGTGCTCTTAGGTGACTAAAAGTAACGAGAAAAACCACGATCTTGTCGTTGGACAATATCATTATATTTACAAAAATGCTACTAAAATCATGTTTATAATATATTGCTAAACATTTCTTAATCACTTTAAGACAACCAAAAATATCAAATTTCTCCAAAGTTCTTCACCATTTCAACCCAGCAAAATTTCCAAAAATTTGCAGCAAGAATTCTTCATCTTCCATCAACAATTCTTCACTGCAGATCCTATAACCTAAAATTATCAACCCAACACTACAAAAAATGGCCACTTAAACTCAACACACACTGTAAAAATAGTTCACAATTCACAGTGCGAACATTTGAAATAATATCATCATATCCATTAAATACTAATAACCTATAAACTTTCAATAACTTGGATGAACTAAAATTTAAGAATAAAAAAATACATGTAAAGTAAAAAAAATACAACTATTAGAATATCAAAATAAATACAAGTAAAAACAAGTTTTTTTACTGATATGATAACATTTCATGCAATAACATATTTATTAATTGGTACAAACCTATAAATGATACTGAATTAATCATTAGAGAGGGAGGAGATGTCAATGATATCAATCGAATACTAGAATAAGTGAAAAAAATTAAAGACTAATTGTGTTGAATTTAGACCATGAATCACACTAGAATACTAGTTTTGTAAGTGTAAAGTTATTATTAATAGCTAATTTAGTGTGTGTAATACTATTATTCCTAACTATGATATTGTATTATATATCCATATAAACCATATAGTCATGGAAGCAACCTTTTTCAACATGTCATGGTAAGCTACAATAGATAATATCTTATATCCTATCATTATAAACAATACAAATCTAATTACAATTTGTCTAGAAGTAACTCTACTTACATACCTATTTAGCAATCATGCATATTTTAATTTTATAAAGTAGGGTTATTGTTCACATTTATCCTATTAGCAATCATGCATGTTTTAATTTTATAAAGTAGGGTTATTGTTCATTATTGTTCACATTTACCCTATTAGGGGTTTTGATGTTTAATTTACAAAACATGCATTACAAACATAAAAAATTGTTTAAGCATTACTATAACACTTCATATTATAATTAATCACGCCAAAAACCAATTAATTAAGGTTTTTATAACACTGTTCATGATAACCATGAATGATCGAATTGAATTTAAGCTTTAACATGCATAATTAATATAAAAAAATAACAAAAACATATGTATAATAGTCTAATTTCTTTATTATTAAGCTAAAATCCATTTTTTTAGGTTTTCAGAGCTCAAGATAAGGTATGAATCAATTAAAAATTTTCTTTTTTTGTTATATTAAGTGCATCCTCGCAATATTTTAATCATTATTTACTAATTTAATATAAAATAAACTCACACACATATCATTCAAAATCAAGACTCATTCAAAATCAAGACTCGCTTAAACAACTTACCTCCATTGTTATCTATTATTCCCAATGAAAAAGGTTGAATAAAATAAAACATCAACAAGGGATTTTTGGCTCTGGTCCTCATGCAAAGACATCAAGTATAAAACCTTGCTTCAGATATAGTGTTTGTGTGTGAGTGTGTTGTGTTTTGAGACAGAGACTAGAGAGAGAAATTTAATTTTGGAAGAGAAGGAAATGAGGTTTGTGTTGAAAATATGCAAATTTAGATATATTATATACAAGGATAAGAATATCTTTTCATCTACTTTGAGGAAGGAAAGTACAATTTTCTAAACCATGGACAAAAAGTGAAAAACATACTAGATGAAAGTACAAGAGGTTTTTTTTTTTTTTTTTGTGGGTGCAAGCATCCTTAAATATACTTCTTCTGCATAAGTTGCTAGCTGGAGTGCAGGCTACGAGGAAGGCCACAAATTCGGTTGCAATAAACGTTCATATTCGTGACTTGTGAGCTTAGTTTCCCCTTTTTTCTTGTCTTGTTTCTTGATTTTTTATTTTTCAGGAATGCAAAACCTTTGGGTAGGAAATAAAACTCTATTCATGGTCCGACTGGATTCCTCTTAAACTGTAAATTTTGTTCGTGTTTAAACCTAACAAATTAAAGATGGACACCAATATTGTAAAGCTTGCCTTTTATTTTCTTCC